TGTTTGGCGGGGGTGGGGCGGGGTGGGGGGGGGGGGGGGGGGGGGATGTGGCGCTATTGACTTCAATGCACCGCAACGCCCCCTCTTGCCCCAAAACAAAGGGGGGAGTTTAGTGAGCAATTGCTGTTCTTTGCAGCAGCTACTGCTCTGGAACGCACCGCGATTGGTGTGAATGGGCCCCTAAAAACCACTGCCAGCAACGCACAGAGGGTGGAGGAAAAGGTATCTCCTATTTGTTTTATATCTCCTATTTGTATTTTTCCATTCAAAGCTTCTCTGTCCTCAGATGAAAACTGCACCGGTCTCAAGGCTGCAACTAATGAGCGCTGCAGTGTTGGGTGTGCGCATAGCTTACTGAATACATCTCTTTAACCCCTTCCCATCTGCCCTTTAAGGAAGTCTAAATCCTGGAAGCCCTTCCGATCATGTGATCGGCTGTTACAGTGATCACATGATCGGGAGCACATCCTGCCAGCTTCCAGTCTTTGGTAAAGTCGCTGGGAGCCGATGGTGACGGCGCACGCTCCCGGCACAAAAGAAGTACGCATAGATGTGACAGCGCAGAGTAAGGGCCGCCTCCCACCTGCCACATAGATGCGTGAGGCCGGCAGGAAGGGGTCACATTTCATTATATTTGAACTATTTTTAATTTCTTTGAGTTGTTTTTTCCAATTTTAGCTTACTGACGTCAATGGGGGCTGATAATCCTATATGGAGACATCAGGGATCTAACAACGCAGCTAATGTCCTGAGCATGAGCAATTCAGATCTTTGGCCGGGAGATGAGGAGACACACAAGGTAAGTCAATGGAGGCAGCGTGCACCCGCACAGACACCGTGGACAGGAAGTGCCAGGAAGAGAGGAGTCCGCACTGGATCGGAGACCGGCACCAGCGCTGGAGGGACTCCTGAAAACTACTGGAAAGATGATGATCGGATCAAGTGGCATAATTTAAAGTAAGTCCTTACACCCGCGGGGGGAGGGATGGGTGGGTGAGGGGGGGGCACACTTTGCCTTTAAATGTCACTTTATTGCATTGCCTGCATTAGGGTAAAAACAAAAAAACACCCCACTGCCTTTCAATGCCCCCTAACCCAAACACTAATCTATACTATCCAGGTTGAGACGAGGGATCTCAAGGCCACTGAAGGCAGGGCAGTGATAGGCTGCTACACCTGCCTGTCAAGATACGAGGAGGGAGGAGGCATTAAAGGGGGCGTGGCTTCTTGAGTGATGTGTGTGTCAATGGATGCACACAGCATGGCTCAATACCCGGCCTGGAGCGAGCATGCACGGGTGTTTCCTTTGCAACCTGCACCCATAAACAGGAGGGGAGGGGGGCGGGGTACTTTCAAAATAAATTAAATGGGCAGTATAGAGTACAAATGGCTCTTCTGTGGAGAATTAAAAAAAATAAAAAAAAACAAACACACACACACGCGGGTTCGATCACTTTAAGGCCTCATTCACACACGAATCGGCCTGCGCGTACAGCTCCATGCTGCGTGCGGGGCCGTACCAAGTAGCTCCCGGGAAGGACAGGTGCTGCGTGTGATTAGAACGCAGCCCCGTCCTTCTCTATGGGGCTACGCGGCCGTACGCCCCCCCTATGCTCACCTCATTTGCAGGTCCGTAGGGGTGCGGGTCTTCTGGCCGGGACGCATACGGGATCCATTCCGGCGGCGTATGAATACGCTCACCCGCACCCCTACGGACCTGCAAATGAGGTGAGCGTACGGCCACGTAGCCCCATAGAGAAGGATGGGGGCTGCGTTCTAATCACACGCAGCACCTGTCCTTCCCGGCAGCTACTTGGTACGGCCCCGCACGCAGCACTGAGCTGTACGTGCAGGCCGATGTGTGTGGATGAGGCCTAACACTTCAGCGGCTTGGAGCCAAACATTCCTCTACATTACAAGGACCTCAGGCGTCAATAAGAGACTTGTACAGATACGAAATTAATTCCCAACTACCTTCATTTAATGACTTCCTCTATGAAGGAGTCACAATCCCCCAATTTTTGTCCTAATCACAGAGAATTCATCGAGAGGAGAGAGAGAGATGATGGGCTAATGCAGACAAATACTCACTGCCTCTACTTATCAGTATTAATATTAGGGATACACAGATACTTTTCAGATACCAGCTCAGATACCAGCTCAGATACCAGTGCCGATACTTGGCATTTTCATGAGAACTACCAGGGTTGCAGATGGGACCTGGCTCTGGCGATCCACCACTGTCCTGAAATCATTAGTCTGTATTGTTTTAGAAAAAACTGTCACATGACAATAAACAAAAATATATCAGTACTTGTATCTGTGAGGACTTGGGCAAGTATCAGTACTTGTACTTGGAAAAATTGTATTGGTGCATCACTTTGTTTTAATGTATGATTTTGTTTTTATAAATATAAACAGGATGTACAAATCCCCGGAGCTCCGTGTGCTCCTTAAAAATGACAGCTGCCTCCTAATTTTTACATTTTTCACTAGTCTAGTCTTGGAGCTGGAAAAGTATCTGTACTTGTACGGAGTATGGTACTTGGTATCGGTGCATCCCTAATTAATACCATTTTTATACTCGGATGTTATTCTCATCGCTCAGCATTCCACCTTAGACTGAGATCAGGGCAGCCCGGCCTCAATGCTTCTCATTGTAGCTAAATTGGTCTTGTAAAATAAAATCCTCCTCCTCCCCCTGTGATGTGTATTGTTCATCAGTGATTTATTACAACATACTACCGCCATAAATGTTCACCGATTGCTATTGTGTATAGCTACATATACTTTCCTGTCTAGGAGTTATGTACTGACAGCCATTTCATGCAGTGATTTAAAGCGACACTAAACTCAGGAGTTAAATCTTAAAGGAGAACTATGGGGTCAGGGCTTTTCCCCATAGTTCTCCTAAGGGTAACGGGAAGACAAACTAGCGTCCTCCCATCACCCCAGGCTCAGTATACCGCGAGCTGCTGCTCACGGTATAATGAGACGCCGCAGCTGAAGTGGATCCCGACAATTATGCCTGGATCCGCCCAGCTGCGTGACTGACAGCTGGCTCTGCCTATCCTGCACAAGGAGAGAGACCAGCAGTGACCGGCCTTTATTACAGGAGGGGGCGGAGACAAGACCATTCACCCTGCACAAGGAGAGAGACCAGCAGTGACCGGTCTTTATTACAGGAGGGGGCGGAGACAAGACCAGTCACCCTGCACAAGGAGAGAGAGCAGCAGTGAGCCGTCTTTATTACAGGCAGTGGGGGGAGGAAAAGACCAGTCACCCTGCACAAGGAGAGAGAGCAGCAGTGACTGGTCTTTATTACAGGAAGCTCCAGGTCTCACACTGGATGACTGCACAGATCGGGAAGAAATACACAAAGCTCCCCCAGGTTCAGGAAGAATACACAGGACTCTTGTAGGAGGACAATATTTGCTTCTCCTGGAGCTCAGCTTTAGCCACAAGCTGGAATATACTTTGCGGAACGATGTTCCAGGAAGTAAACGGCGGTCAGGAAACAAATGTTTAGCACAGTACATGGCAGTAACTTACTTCTCTTGAAGGACCTGTTCTGAGGAGGCGGCCCAATCCCTGGAATGCCATAAACACTCATCCGCTGCACCAGACTCGCCACATTGCCTGGTTTCTCCCTTTTGGGTACATTTTCTTCCTTTGGTTCAGCATCTTTCTTGTTTTCCTGTGGGGTACACAAGAGGATAAATCAGGGGACAACTCTGAAAATTACAGTAACCCCCAAAGATCCCCTCCCCCACCAAGATCTCCATTCCGTAGCAGTTTGGGGTTCCTCACACAGCAACAGGCATACAATGACATGTCTTACCTCTGCAGTAATATACTATAGTATATCATGTCTACATGTTTCTAAAGGTTAAAAATAAAAAATGTTTTTTTTCTTGTGTGTGTTTGCGGTCTGTCTCCTGTTTTTTTCCTGATGGTCACTTTCTAAAAAGTGAGGATAAAGCCAAAACATTGAAATTGTCACCAGAACCTTAAAAAAGTAGAAACATTCTCAATGGGCACACATGCTTAGGTGGCATTTGTATCACTTTGGAGAGATTTACTTACTTCCTGTTGTGCCTATAGGACAGGAAGTGAAGGGAAATCCTCGGAAAGGTAATAAGCTAGAGCTAGGGCTTTAGATATACTTTAGAGCAGTGGTTCTCAACCTGCTCAGGACCCACATTTTTCCTTGGTCATTAGGTTGGGACCCAAGTCACGCTGCACTGGAATGCATATAATTGCGATACCGCGCATTTTGGTGCGAGCGATTGAACTGTGGGCGGGAGGTGCGTTTGGGGTGGCATTTAAATGAATGGCAAAGCAACTGCCACACCAGAGCACAGGGTAGGTGTGATCACGCACTGTACTAGTGTAAATGGGCCCTACAAAACACTGAGACACACACACAACTACAGACACAATCTCACACACTCACAGACATTCTCACATACACACTCCCCCCCAAAAAATCTATTAAGATCCACCCAGTCTCCCTATTTTACGAGAACTGGAGTGGATCTTCAGCCTGGGGCCCAGTGTGGGCTGCTGTGCTGTGACGGAGCTCCATACATACATGCATTGCTTGTACAACTCCCTTGTACACCCTGTAGAGGTGTTGGGAGCCAGAATGTGACTTCACTCCAGGCTCCTCTACAGGACACGTGAGGGAGCTGTAAGCAATGCACGTATGGATGGAGCTTCTCGCGGCAATACACCCAGCCCACACCACCCACACTTGGCTCCAGGCAGCAGCATATTTTGAATGGCTGCCTGACACTAGTACTGAGAGTGCTGCACTAAGGGGAGGCTGAGGAGCTTCTTACCTAGCTCAGTGGAAGGCACGCGGGGACCCACTTTTGGATCGCGATCCACCAGTTGAGAACCATGGCTTTAGAATAAAGAAAATGAAGGTGACAAAACTCAAGTGTGTGGAATACCTGCTCCCCCCGCCACAGACAGTGGTTCTTTTTCAGGCCATCTACCACTGCAGGACATATAGGCCAGCAGGAGGAACCACTGTGCGCAGCGGGCGGGGGTAATAAGCATTTAACCTGCCCAAAGGGATGAATGCCTGAAGCATAAAATAAACAGCAAAAAGCCAGCCTTTGAAAGCATGGGCCACCAAAAAGCCAAGTATTCTGCCTCTTCTTTATACAGGCTTGGCATTGTGTATAGATGACCCTGAGGTGAGAGAGTCAATGCAGCTGGATGCCACGAGGCTACTACACCCTGCGCTTATCATCATTGCTCTTTACACTGCCTTAGTAAATAAGTAACCCTGGACTGGACGGCATTATTCCTGGTCAGGTAGACTTCACATCACCAACCATGTAGCAGGCAGGATGACGGTGTGTTTGGTATTTACAGGAATTAAAAAAAGGTAAACTTGGAGCTAAAAATCACAGAGATCCCTCTCAGGGTTGGTGGCTCCCAGGCCCCGTGTAAGATGGTTCAGTTATCACATCTCTAAAGATGGCCATACACTCTACAACCATCGCAACTTAGACTTTAGTCTTGCGATGGTTGTAATGGGATTAAAAAAACGTACGATCTGCCTATCTTGGACAGGCAGATCGCACTCTCGATCATCGCAAGCTCGCCCCCGAGGGGCGGGCTTCCGATGACCGCAATGCTGAACGGGCAGTGTGCGCACACCGGCCTGTTCGGCATTTGTCTTCCGAGCACCGTTCTAACCAGCCGAGAATCGTACGATTCCCGGCTGGTTTTCGAACATGCTGGTTCGACAGAAGACGTGCGACCGTACAGTAGAAACGGTCGCACGTCTCCGTTCACACTGCTCGATTATCGTACGAAAACCCGATCGCATACGATTATCGTGCAGTGTATGGGCACCTTTAGAGGAATGACTTTTGGCAATTTCCAGGACAGAATCCCAAGGCACCGCCCCCCCCCCGCCATTGTCTGTGAAGGTTCCCATTCATCGAGGTCATGATATATCTGTAAAACTTAATTAATCAAATCAACTAGACTTGCTCCATTTTTCCCGAAGACATTTCTCTGGTCATTCGACTAGATTCTGAACTGAGAAAGCTAGTTGGGTGACCAGCGAAACGTCTTCAAGAAATATACAGCAAGTCCAGTTGCCTTGATTTTTTACAGATACCCCTCATAGACCGCATAAGATTACCGGACAAAGGTTTCACCTCTTCCCTACAGTATCCAAATAGCTTTACATACACTTTACCCCCAAACAATAAGTGGTCCATGCTGACAACACGTTAACAAACATCCCCGCTTTGACAGATACTAGTCAACGCCTTGCGATCAAACCTGACAGTCACCGCCAACTTCAATCTCTACTTCCAACTGATATCCATTCAGAGTGGTTACCAATCACCCACCATTACCTGTAACAAAGAAATCACATGCAAACTAAAAGCTGTATGATGAAAAAAATTATAATTTCAGATTGCAGAGGCCACTGATGTCTGTAGATGAGCCGGATTTAATAATGTAATTGTATAAACAATTCTAGTATTACAAAATAATAAAAAGGAAGTATTTAATCCGAAAAGAAAATGAAAAATCGATTCCTTTCAGATCAAATCGTCTCTTAAACATCCTAAAAGATCACTACAGCTCTCTGTCCCAGACAAAGCCACAGGATCTGAAGGTGTACCCCAAGGGGGTCTGCATATGTACACGGCCAGATTCATCCAGTTTATATTACAAGGAAATTGGCGTGTAAAAGAAAAATTACACATATGGGAAAAAGTGAGAAAGAATGGGGAAATAACAGGAGTTCCTTCCGCCTACCAAAGATAAGAGATGACGCAGTGTTACGATTGGCATAATCAGGAAACAAATATTCAATAAACACTGATTATTATTATTTTCAAAAATATGGCCGATATAAAAATAGACACACCAACATGGATTTATATTCCCCATGTAAAAAAAAAAGAAACAAATATATAGAAACAGGCCCTAAAAGTCTCCGTTCTAAAGCTGGCCATACACCTAGAGATTATCTGCAGACTTTCTGTGGTCGGATGGAAAAAGTGCAACAGATTCCTTCATCTACACTACACTGTGTGTATGGGAGAATCTACCACTGGGCCAAGCTTCAGGATCTTGCTAGGTCAGCCCGCTGGCTCTCACAATAGCGGAACAATCTGATTGGATGCCGGCATTGTTCAGAGAGCCAGCGGGGCCGACTAGCAAGATACTGAAGCTTGGCCCAGTGGGAGATTCCTCTATTATTATTATACAGGATGTATATAGCACCAACAGTTTGCGCAGCGCTTTACAATATAAGGAAGACATTACAATCACAATACAATTCAAGACAAGATGGTAAGGAGGGCCCTGCCCGAGGGCTCCATCCACACAGTTTAGCGTACATGGAGGAATCTGTCACTTTTTCCATCTGACCCTAGAAAATCTGCAGGTAATCTAGAGGTGTATGACCGGCTTAAAGTGACATTAAAGGATACATCCCCCCCCCCATGTTAATGTTAGTACTTACCTTAAATGATGTCTCTTAATCCGATCTTCTTTCCTGATGTTTTCATCTGTCCCTCCAGCGGTGCGGCGGGTCTCCGATCCAGCGCCGACTCCCCTCTGCTTGCAGACCCTTCCTGTCCCACGTTGTCTGCATGCGGGTACACGCGTCCATAGACTTATCTTGCGTCTCCACTCTTCTCCCTAAGCATGCGCCCGCCCCAAGATCATTTGTGGCCGCACGAACAGTTCCGGACTCTCGCCGATAATAAGGTCAGTCTTAACCGCTGTTTAAGCGGGTTTTTAAAAATCTTTTTACTTTTTGCCTATATCTACAGCTCGTCAGCAGTAGATGTAGGCAAAAAAAACCTCTTTAAGCACACATCCTGCCAGCTGAGATCCTGCAAGTTGTCCCGGGATTGCACTTTCCTCCAGCACAATGAGAGGAATGCCAGCAATGCAGAATAACAGGTGAGCGCATGCTGAGACACATTCCCTATACAGATCCAGTCATGCTGGAATTCAGCCTTAAAAGGACCACTTAACCTAAAAATGTTACAATAAGCTACAATGGCCACAAACATAAGGAATACTAAATAACCAAGACATAAATAAATGAAAACAAAGCTTTGGGATACACTTAGTCCTGGTTCACACCCAGCGTAGTCACAGCTGATTCAGCGCAACAAAAAGCTTCCCCCCCAGAAATCCCATTCATTCTTATGGCCCCTGTTCACCTGTGAGCGTTTTATAGCAAAAGCCAAAACTTCTGTCGCCGGGAAAAAAGTACATGAGCTACTTTTTGGCATATTACAGCTCGTTTTGTCCCCAGAGTGTCAATAGGAAACGCGCGCTGCAATTGGTTTTGCACATTTTTGCCATTTACATCAAAGTCTCACAGTCTGCTCATAAAAACACGCAACTTAAAGGGTTTCTAAACCCTTTGTTTTTTTTGTATATATATGGCTAGCAAGCAGTAGATATATGCAAAACGTTTTTTTTTTAATACGCTTTAAAAGCGGTTTAAACTTACCCCCGTCTTCGCCGCGCGCTCCCGTCCGAAAATCCGAAACTGCTCGGACGGCCACAAAGCATCTTGGGGCGGGCGCATGCGCAGTTCGGATTTTCGTCCGGGAGACGAGGAGAGACGGGAGACGGAGAGAGGGAAGGTAAGTCTATGGACGCGTGCACCCGGCTGCAGACACCGAAGTA